TACACCTACTAAATATATTAGGATTTGGCAGTCAACCATCGCGTTTTTCTAAAAATTCGCAATCGTACTAAATGTATAGTAATTTATATTAGGTACTTACGTGGTGCAAAATTATAGTAGGATATTCGTTGAATAAATCAAATCGATGTATAATAATGGAGATTCAACTCAAATTAAGTTATTGAATGCTGACAGTATTTTATTACAATCAATCAAATAATTCATTTTTTTTAAATGATGCAAAAATTTTTCGTTTTTTCTTCTTTATTAAATCGGTGAGGAAATACATAATATAATATACAGTTTTTAAATATATTGTATTTGAGTATGAATTATTATTTACATTTTAGTTGTGCGAAAAGATTCGTCTTCGTAACAGTATATATAAATATAATATTATCGGGGCTGATAAAAATGCCTAAATAAGCATGCACTTATGCGCTAGAAACTGGCATTGAAATGGGTCTTAAAAAATTCAGAAATATGCATTTATGTGCACTAAAAATCTAAAACGAAGAAATCATAGCAAGAAATATACATTTATACCTAGTTTAAAAATTTTATTTTTAATAATTTTACTTTGTGAAAACTACCATAGATTGTATACAGTGAAAAAATATACACTATTGCATTTTCATCAGTTTTCATAGTACCTACTTCCTATTTTAATAAAAAAGTGTATGTTAATATAATAACTAATAATATCAATAGGAATATCAAAATTATGAAGAATATGCGCAATAAAATGGGAAAACGCATAAATATGCCAAATAGACAAAAACCTAAAAATATGCAAAATAAAACTTCACATATTTAATCATGTAATCTTGCAAAGGATTTCTATGTCATCTATCATCTAGCGACTAGCATTAAATACAACTTGGCAAGATTGATATGCAAATGCCTGAATTTACGAGCATATTACTAATGTCCTGTACTCTGCCCACTACATTACCACAATAATTTTTTTATCAATTTAGGTGCTCGGGTGATAATGGCGTGTAGAAGCGCGTCCAGGACACAAGACGCGATAGAAAGCATAAAAAATCAGACCGAAGGAGATAATAACGTCGGAGAGTTGGTTTTTAAGCATTTGGAATTGTCATTTTTGGCATCCGTGAGAAAATGCGCCAAAGAGATATTGCACACGGAAAAAAGAATCGATATTTTAGTAAACAATGCGGGTGAGTCTTGTTGTGAACATCATAATAGTATATATTATTATATAGGAATTTTAATATATTTCATAAATTGCTACGATTTTCGATATTAATTTTCACGTTCGATCCACAGTAATAATATTATATAATATATTGTTATCTAAAAATTAAATCAATAACAGTAGGTACTTACGATGTCGATTTGCTCGTAGGTATAATGATGTGTCCGAAAACGTTGTCGGAGAACGGAATCGAACTTCACTTGGCAACCAACCATTTGGGTCATTTTCTGTTTACACTCTTGCTGCTGCCCAGAATACTGAAGTCAGCTCCGGCAAGGATAATCAACGTGACTTCGTTGGCTCACAAATGTACGTAAATTGTATTATTTGTATAATAATCAATTTTGATAATATGATCTTCCCGTCTTATACTTACCCAGTTACCCATTGTCCCGTTATCTGTAGGTATATTATATAGATAATATATACAAGTATAATTTCACGATTGAAATCCTGCCTCAATTTTTAAGTTATATTGTTCCTACATGCTACGAACAATCGCATAGCATTGTTTTTATCCAGGTAAAAGGTTTGTCAGTGAATTAATCAATTAATAACAATTGATTAAATTTAATATACTAGATGCTAACTGATATTGGTCTCAGATTATAGATGCTATAATAATCGATCATTAATTATTCATATTAATTAGTATGGGCCAAGATAGATGAATCTGTTTTTTATTTTGCAACGTTTATATAATATTTATTCCGCAGCAAAAAAAAAGTCACTTAACTAACGCGGCTCACGACCACCACTTACCTATCGCAACGCTTGTACCTCTTATTTTTTTTTTTATTTGATATTATTAATAAATTCACTCACAAATCTTTTTTCTGGATAAAAACAATACTACAAACGGTTATCTGTCGATCTGCAGGCTAACTTACTTTCTTTTTTTGGATTAATTAATAATAACGAACTGCGAACTAACCAACATTTTGAACGTCAGTACAATATTCTACAAATGTATTACAAACTATTCATTACACACACTATTATTATTTAAATCGTTTCCGGCTAATCACATGGTAATGAATCAAACAACTCGACCAAATGTCAACAAACGCCGGCATGTGTATTTATTTGAATAGGTCACGATAACATATGTGTATGGTATATATATATAGGAGTCGAAGAAGTAGCAATACCAAATTATGATAATTGAATCCGCTGTTCAGAGAGACGCTGTTTAGATAGCTAGTCCACCGTCGTCTGATAACGATTATAAATTATTTATAATACAATTATTGTAAGGGATGATTTAAAACGCGTGGCTTGTATTAAGAGTCCATTAGTGGCACAAGGTAACATAATATACAAATGCGATATACGTGATCATAGTAATAATATTATATAGAATTCGTAGGTACTGGTCGAAACATCGGTGAGTTGTAATGCGAGTCTAAAATGTCGAATGCACACTTGGTATATGCAATATAATATTATATACTATACAGGGTATTATAATCTGGGCACTCAAGCAAACAAATTTTTGGTGTACGATAATTTTTTTGAAAAACGATAATTATTTAAATACTTTACGATAATATTAGTTTGAGAGTCTGGCAACACTGGCGCCGCCCATTCGTACGCGCCGCCCGTTCGTTTTTTTTCCTCACTGCCCTGCGTAAAGAAGTTTAACTTCAAGAACAAAAAAAAAAAAAAACACTCATCATTGCATAATCAATACATTCATCGTTCCACACACAATCTAAAATATAGATATGAAGTAGACATAATTATAATACAAAATTAAAATCACTTTTTAAAAGTATGATCTCGTATCACTACTTCCATCGGTATGATTGACAAATTAAGATTGGTAGAAATAACTGACCGTTTGCAATTCCCTCGACAACATAATATGAAAAATTTGAAAGCAAAATGCAATATTCTGATGATGTGTATCCAATAGGGGGTGATCAAAAAATGCATTTCGACGACATAAACCTGGACAAGGATTACACACCCAGCGGGGCATACGGCCGCTCCAAGTTGGCCAACATTTTGTTCACCATGGAACTGGCCAAACGTTTAAATGGTAAGTTCCGCCAGTTCGGTAACCATGTGACCACGGAACGTGGACTACAAAAGTGCATTTCGTGAACGGAAAATATACCAAACCGTTTTATTATATAATTTACAGGTACCGGAGTGACGGTATACGCGGTCAATCCAGGCATCGTTCACACCGAACTCAGCAGGTTTGTCGATCAGACTATCTTTCCTGGAGCGTCGTGGCTGTACAACAGTTTCACTAAAATCGCCGTCAAGACACCCCGACAGGGCGCACAGACCACGTTACACTGCGCTCTGGACGAGAATTGTGCCGGCGAAAGCGGTTTATATTACAGGTAGGATTGATGACTTGGGGTGCAAACTGCTAAGCCCCTCCAGTTTTATCCTTAGCTCCCCACTCCCAATTTTTTTTATTATATTTTAGTATATCAATTATCAGGTCTATGCTGTACTAATACAATTCTAAGTCCCCAGAAAAAAATCCCTAGTTGCGCTTTTTTAACGCAACAATATTACATTACCTTCTGTACTAATTTTTTGGATCAATTTTATATATACCAACTGCTCATAAATATTATGCTATCTGTGCAGACGCGTCTCGTATTTCAAGGGCTCAAAATATTGTCTCTATTTCTGTTTATGCGACGTACATACGTAGCCTATAATATTGGTCCCTTTAATAATATAATATATATAAAACGGTTCTTACGTCTGAGTGAATTTTTTTTTTGAATTTTCAGTGATTGCAAAGTGCTGGAACCAGAACCCGCGGCCAAAGACGAAGAGGTCAGCGCACAGTTGTGGGACACTAGTTGCGCCTTTGTTAATTTAGAACCTTCAATAGATCCTTTCAAACCGGAGAGCGGTGACTTATAAACCACGTTTTACTCATCGTGGAATGTTTTTCACAGAGATATTGTATACAATCATTGAGTTATTAGGTTTATTGATTTAAAATATATATATATATATCTATGTACTATATTAAATAATTTATAATAAATAATAATTATGTACTTATTCTAACTTCTAATAAATTACCATCGATGTGTATTTATTTCACATGAAATGTAAATTGTGTATAATATGAATTTTTGAGTTTATTACCTAGCTCTATATAGTACAGTATATAATACACGTATGTCACTCAGTGGCGTATTTACCGGTGGGTATTAACATAATGATTGATAAATATGACCCTCGAAATATTTGTTTGAATTTTGAAATGGTATCTATCTTGATTTATGCGTGACACAAATCGAAAACGGCTGTGAGTTAATAATTAATAATTATGAAGTAACAGAATCACTCGATTTTTACAACATTGAAAATTTTATTCGTACACCTGTTCCGTTTACTGCTTGAAAATATAATAATATCATAAGTACATAATATGACTGTAATATTTTTTAAAAAACTGAATCGGACCAGTAAATAGCGAAAGTTTTAAAAATAAAATAATAGAGTTAAATTTACTATAGTATGAATACAAATTGTTCACTGTTAAAACAATAGTGTCGGTTTATTTAAGAAATGCCATAACGTTTCGTTCTTTTATAAATCTTTTAAAACTGTGTTTTTCTATCGTCAATAACCACCAGAGTTAATTTCCACACTCAAGGCCTCTCTCCCAGTCTCCCTCCTCGAGGAAATTATAAATACGCAACTGATGTGACTATACATGATACCTACAACTGTTATTACCACGTACCTACACATTCCACCGTTATATATTATACAATTAATACTGTTAAGATCAAAACAGAGCCGAAAAGGAAATTTTGACCGACCGCAATACGGCCACGGTGATCACGAAAAACACTATGAATATGATTCGCTCGAAGGCCACTATGACGATATCCCATAGGGTGGTAGTGGTATCGTGTCCTGCGTCGGGTCTTTGGTCCAACTGGTTGCAGACGAGGGTCCGGGGCGAATCCAATTTTGGCAAGGCCAGAATTTTCGTCACGATGGGCGTGGTGAGGAATCTAGTTAACTCGAACGGAGGATGGCCGATTGTCGTTTTGCGACTGTGCACCGTTATGAGCAGCGACGAGATGAACGCGTCCATCGATATCAGCAGGATAAGTTTCAAATATCCGAGCACTGGAAAAAAAATGTCCTACACATTACCTTGATTTTATAATATGTTATGATTCATATTTATTAAATATGTTATAGGTTGTGAAATGTTAATAATAAAAATTTCATAACTTATGGGTTATGAATTATGATAAAATAAAAACATTTTTCCTCCCAATTATACCTATGGGCCACAGATTTCTATATATTACTAGATAGCAAACTCCGGTCATGAATTGAAGCTTCAAGGTCGGTTGGCAATTGTATGGTATTTCATATGACAAATAAGATGATATTATGATTTATTTTATATCGTATTTTATTATTTTTAAACATTTAGTTTACAAAAAAAAAAAAATATTTTATATAAGTCATTTTACATTTACTATTTTATTTGACCGTTAAAAAAAATATTATTCCTAATACATTTTGTATAATAAATGAAATGTTTTGCCAACCGACAAAATGGCGGCCGTTCACAGCTGAGCTTCACTTGTAACAATGTAAATTGTATAAGAGTTCCTTATCTAGTGTAGTATAGAAGTCTGTGCTATGGGCTAGGACAATGGAGTAGCTAATCAGTCTATCCAATACGCCGTGTCATCATAATATTATTATTGTTTTGGTCTCACTCTCGCATATTGATGATATTGTTTTAAGTTACAGCACTATAAGGTTATAGGAATAGGACCTTACAAATTTTGTTTTTTAATGAATGTGAATATTCCCAAAATATCAAAGTATGCCGCCATGCCCTTAAAACAATTAAATGGGTGTGAGAGTATATGTCTTTATAAAATTATTTAAATAAATATATTTTTATCACTACCTATTCATTCAAAATATACTACATAGAAACTACATGCGTTTGATGTTTCAAATTATTGTAAGTTGTATTAGTTGTAACAGTAACACCTACGATAATACCTACTTATGACGAGCTTGCTTAAGGTCGTATGTCTGTAAAATCACGTATGTACCTATATATTATGTAATTTTATAAACAATGTTACAAATATTTAGGTACCCACAGTTAAGTATTACCAACAAAAAAGCCTCCCGAAATCTAAATAAAATGTACCTATTACATTGAAAATGTAAAGTAAATAATTTAATTCAGATTACATTTAATTACAATTATCTTTAGATGAATATACTGATTACTTAGCTATAATTAACGGGGAGTATAAAATATTTTACTTACTCAAGTCTGGTGGAAATTCAGCGAAAATCGGTACATACTTGGTCATGTATGCAATTATCAATATTGAAGTTATAATTGACACACAAATTGTCATGATTTTTGATGAGGAATTGGGCATTACGCCGAAAGACGACAGCCATACACAACTGATCACTGAAGAAAATAAAAATCTATTATAATGGCATTCCTATCATAACATTTTTTTCCGGCGAATCTAAAAGATTTCAATTCAATTTTGTCACGTTCTGATCCAATTTACAATATTATTATAATAATCGTATGTAAAAAATATAATTTGGCAAATCAATTGGAAATGAAAAATAATATTCGAGTTAAATAATAAAAAAAAAAATGTAAATGAAATGCGTACGTATTAACGGGACGTAAAACAGTTTCTCGAAAATCTTCGTGTTTCTAGATATTTCGACCACGATTTCCAGTGCAAGTTGAGGGGGGGCGCGGGGGTCTTCGAAACTACGGTCGACGTCGTCGTTGATGGCTGCCACGATATCGTCCCACGGAGTGCTGACATTCACGTACGCGCCTGTCATCCTGTCGACTCTCCAATCCGAATGGGACACTTGAAAACATTCCTGCACAGGTATATAATATAGTGATATAATATATCAAACGCCGTACACCTCAATACTGTACACGTCATAGTATAATATAGTATATTGTTATGGACTTATGGTACACCAACACCTCCACTATGTAATACTCTGTCCAGCGAGAGAAAATTCCGATTCTGCGCTATTAGTGCAACTAGGGGGAGGCTAGGCGGGGGCTTAACCCCTTAGATACCCTATACACCACGGAGACCACCGGTTCCACTATGGCGCGGGGTCGCGTGCTGAAGGGGATGCGCAGAAGAACAGATTTTTGTCTGGCCGCGGCGTATTCTCTCTCTGGACAGAGTACCCATATATACCGCTGGTAACCATATACAATATTTACAAGTCGTAGGTGAGCATGTCCGTTACTTACGTTATTTTGGCTGCCTTTGACTTCGTAGAAGACATTGGATATTTTATGCGACCAAGTGCTCAACAGTATGATACACTTGTGTTTGTCCCACGGCCACGACGTCAAGTCGATGTTGCATTTGGTTCTAATGTCAAATTTAGGTCTCCATGTGACATTGCCGTTGTTGTCCACGGACACTTTCGATCCGTAAAACATGCTCGAAGCCGGATCCATTGCACTGCAGAGAACGGAAATCGACAGTGATTACAAAATGTTTATTATACAGTATAAGTTATCCTCATATAGCTTATAAATTATATATTTATATTAATTTATAATATATTATACTTGTGTAGTACGAGTTCGGGTTGCCATAGTTCGTAGTTCGATAAATGTAATTTGGAAATATTTTTATAGTCTTGAGGATTCCAATGGATACTGTTGTCCGTCCATTCCTGCCCGGATAACAATTTAAAATAATATATTAAATATTACATAATATACATAGCTTTTGATGTCCGGTTAGGTTAAATTAGGTTGGCTTTATATAGTAAAATGTATGTATATCGATGAAAATATATTTCTTAATATAGCCGCTATAGCAGATAAGACAACTGGCCAATCCAACATATATTATAAGTACTGATATACAGGATAGATGGTTTGGAGATTTTCCGGGACTTTAAAAATTAATCTGGTATTTAGTTTTAACAGATTTCTCCATGAAAATATATTACCCTAATCGAACATAAAATATATACTTACGAAATTGGAGACACCCTGAAGTGTGAGCGTGGAAGTCATGACGTCCTACAACATAAAAAAAAAACCAGAACGAACAATGACACGCAACGTAAGTACAACAATACGTTACGTTACGTTTATTATTGCAAAACAATAAATACATACATAGTATATACGCATAATATTTGAACATAATAATATATAATTTATATACATATCAATATAGTTCAGAGCCGGTCTTAAGGCGGAGCGAGGCCGGGGGCAATTTTTTTTAGGTGAGACTTCGGAGTATAATTTTTCATAACGCGAGGCACAGATTTGTCATACAAATTCACGAGGGACCGAAGGCCGACTCTGTTAAAGTGCTTACCAGATGAATGAACTTAAATGTACTGGTTAGCTCCACGTTTAACACTTGCTTCGAGTCCGTCGTCGGGTCACCTCCGTACAGACCGCGCTTTTTCACTACTTCTCTCCTGAGTTGTTCCATGTGTGTATAGAATTTCTTGGTATAATCGATTCTCTCTGAAACGCAACACGTTTTTGTTAACGTAATTATACAGTCGTTATTACATATTTTCACTCAATATTGATTGTATGACGTGCGCGATCTAGTCGTTAATTTAAATTATAATATTATTGCAGTGTAACCTCTCGCATCCGGCGGCATCTTCGGCTTCACTAGCGGGTCGGGCTTGCACCTGAACATCCATTTGCCGACAACCGGGCCCCACGAGCTGAAGCTATAATAATTGACCGGTATCGGCTCCGGGTCCTTCCAAAAAATGATCGGCAAGTTCTCGTCATTTCTAAAGACCTCGATCAGACCGGACTGCTTGGACGCGCGCACCAAAAAGCCGACGGGGTCTGCCGGGTCAAGGAATTTCTTCGGGCCTACGGTGGCCATCGACGTGAACTTCCTACGTTTAATTAATGTACGACATTAAATTCCGCTAAACAATATTTAATGATAATAATACACTATATACCCAGGTGGCCAGGTGTGATATTAAATGTAAGTACCACATACCCGTCGAATTTACGTATATCTCCAAACGTGTTGGACCCGCCTCCGAGAACGATTTCGTATCCGGGCAACGCCGGTTCTCTGGCCAACATGACGTGCGCATCACTTTCCGCTTGCACGTAAAACTTCAACTCCACTGTGCCATCCGCTGTGGGAATTTCAGTGGCGTTGTACCAAACCTTATACCCGTAGCCCACCGTATAATCATTGGACGAGCATTTGTCGCCTATTTTTAAAGACGACGAGTCGAAACACATACGCGAAAAAGTAAATAATAATATCATTAATATGTCTCATCGTATAGCAGAAAATCAATATCGATAATACCTAGCTATATTATATGTGTTCAATTTCCAATGTCAATATATGTAGGTATAGGTACTCAATATATAGTGTAGTTACACGAGTAATAAAGTATTTGTATACTTACCTACCAATCCCTGCCTACGTTTACGCTCACTGACAATAATTAGACTATGATAATAACCTTTTTTTTCGGCTAAACCAGAAAGTTTAAGAGGATGTCACCGAAATATTTTATTTCTCTCTCAGACCCACGCACAACATAGATAAAACACTTTAACCTAAAAACTTCACTTTTAAGTCATCTTAGAGTATAATGACCTATTACAATAATTATAGTGGATACTGGATACATTTGAGGGTATGACATATTACCGGTTTTATATTTTGTTATAATTTGACTTTGTATTCGATTTTCAAAAATAAAAATGTGAGACAGTATGATATTCTCTATCGTTTATGGAACGGGTGATTTTACTATAAGAAAACTCAAAAACATAAAAAAAAATGATTTGTCTAGAGCAAATGAGTATCTCATGCAACGAGTGATCCTCTTAATATGTATATAAGTACACAACTATAGTTTACTTTGTTATACATAATATATAAAAAATATTATGAATCTATGTTTTATAAACATTATTCAAAACAAATATAAATAATTAGGTAACTATAAACTTAATTATAAAAATAAATGTTAATATTTTTGTCATTATAATTATTTGTCGGTGGTCGCAGAGTTTGATTATGAATAGATTATTGATTGATAACTGATGGCAACTTGGTACCAAGACAAAAATAAATATCCAATAGAGAAATTAATAATTTTTACCAATGCGACTTATATTTTAATATTAATTACTTTCCTACGTGTACCTATTATACCTAACGTAAAGTAAATAATATTAAACATTTTGGTTAAGTGAATCGGCCGTTAAGAGAACGGTACTATTTTGGTCGAAAACTTCGATTATTAAACTATAGGTACAGCCGCTGAGGATTTATACTTATACGAATACATAATTATAGGTACTAGCATTGGGTATAAATACTAGTATAGTAGTAAATTATAAATGTATAATCAATGAAGTACTATTATAGGTAGAGGTACCTACCGCCAGTGACCTGCAGCAGTTCACCGTGCAGACTGGACACCGACAGAGAGAGTAGAAATGCCAAAATTTGAAGCATATTTCAGACGGCGTTCCGAAAAAAATCGTTGTGGATTTCGCTCCGAGGTATGATATTTATACTATTACTGTCTATATTTAAGTTAAGTGTGTTGAGCGTGATACGTTGTTTGATTGGTACTGTACACACACGATTAATACAATGTCAATGTGTGTAGTCTGTCTCGCACAGAATCGTATCCTGTATTCCAAATTTTTTTCTGTACGTAAATAAAAAGTTATCATATTTTATCCGTATACATAATAATATAGTGTTGTATAGATAACTTATAAATCATAAAAAGCATATTATTATTATTATACACAATGTCCGGTATAGACGAATACGACGATGATATCATTGTGTAAATAGATAATGCCGCGAGTACACACAAAGTGTTCGCAGCTGTAATCGAAATAATTATCGTTAATAATTTGTATGTAAATTAATATGATAAAATAATATGTATTATAAATATTAAATAATAAATATATAACGCCCGAAGAACAACTGTAAAATAAATAAAAACATGTACAATGTATACGTATAGGTTATATGATATTATTATGGTTGTTGAGAAAGTATAATGGAAATTAGCACTGTGCAGGGGCGGACTGGGCCGGCGGGATACCGGGAACTTTCCCGGTGGGCCCCTACTCAAAAATAATTAGTTACCTATTATTATTTATTTATAACAAAATCAGTAGGTATAAATATAAATTATAAATATTTTGTATTTTCATATCATAACTGTTGAGTGTGCAAAATGTTTATATTATATTTGGTGTTAAAGATTTTAGATTTCGGTTCAGCTGGTTGACCAGCCCCTCGGTATCAATGCATAAACAGAAATTATTATTTATAACTACTAGGGTGTGAATTTGAAGATAAATTGCATTTTTTTCTGGATTCTCTTAAACATTGCTGTCCAATCAAAAAATGTATTTCATACATAAATAATTTAAAAATTAAATTTTTATTTAGCATTTTTTTAACTTTACTGATTTATAGAACATTTTTTTGACGTTTTTATGACATTTTTATCGTTTGAAGGAATTTTTCGTAAATTTTATAAGTATATATACAATTTTATAAACACTATTAGCTTAAGTTCCTTCAAGAAATTTAATATAATTAAAAATCATTTTTTCTTACTAATATTTCTATTTTATTACGTTTTATTTTATTTTGTTTGCTCCTATGACTTCAGTTATACAAAACAACGATTGCCAATTCTAACTGTCAAAGTTTTTTATTCAAAAATATTGATTAGCTTCTGATTGAAAAGTGATTATAATGAAACACAATATATGACGACTAACGACTAATGACTATACCTATTTAAATTCTATTTTATTTTCATTTAAATTGGCTTTTCATTTTTCTGGGCATTTTACTAAGCTTTGTAATATTGTTACTGTGCATAAAATCGTATTTTTAAGGCATTGTTTTTTTTATTGCATTTATATCCATGCCCTATTTATAACTTAATATGACTTTATTCTACAGTCGATTAATATATCCACTTCTAGCCAGCCAGTATTTACTTAATATAACTAACATTAAATTGTACACAATAAAAAATATAATATAAATATATTGTACCTACATAATAGTAAAATATAAAAGATAATTTGTGATAATTTGATGGGAATTAATAAGCTGATAACTAAAGGTACAGTTATTCGTACGTTCAATGTAACGTCCTTAATTCAAAAAAGTGAATTCTTTTTATACTTCTTTTTTATTTTATTGTAGTGTGCTAGTGTATCGTTTGATGATTTTGTAATATTTACTTATCTATTTGTTGTTTAAAATGGAAACTAAAAGAAAGAGTGGGGTTGAGAAAATCAGAGAGAGAGAGAAGGATACTCTTAGAAAAATCAAGTTAAAGTAGTTTAAACGAACCTATTTTTTTCATCCGTTATGGATCACTTATAGAGTAGGTAATAGAAAAAGTGATATATACATAATACTGTGCAGTACATTTAATTAAGATTAAATACTAAATAGGTACATTGAGAATCTTAAGTTGTCTCCTGAGGAAATTAAAAATGAGTAGGTGGAGGTTGCAACCATTATTTGTCAAAACTTTGGTACCATATTTAAGTCTTACATTTAGTGATGACGACATTTTAAGGGCCGGTCAAAATATAAATTTCCCGGGCCGAATAGTTGCCCCAGTCCGTCCCTGGCACTGTGATAATACATAGGTAGCGGTTGTACAACAAGATCGGCCCAACAATATTCTATAATTGTGTACAACAAATATTATACAGGGTGATTTTTAAGCATACTCATAATATTTTTAAGTTTAAATTGAGTATAATATATTCAAATTTCGATTTTTTCCAGTATTTTTAAATACTTAGGTTTTCGAATTTTTCACAATATTTAAGTAGTGTCCTGCGGCGATACCAACTTTGGTTTTTCGAATGAGAACCTATGTGTTTTAATGAGAATTGTGAATCAGATGATTATTCTGAAAATGTTGATGTACCCATTGTAATTGAAATTTGAACGAAAATGTTCTTAGTTAGGACTTAGGACGTTAGGTACACTACTTTAACTACCGAGGTCCATAGGCACAACTACAGTTAAAATTCTGGGGGGGGGGGGCGGTAGCATAACAATTTTTTTTTAATTTTTTTTATTTCAAAGTATTTTCTTGAATAAGTAATTTTATGTTAAGACCAAATGTATTCAGAATTAGTGAATAATCAATACATTTACTACAAAAATTAATATACTAATACATTTTATACAATGACTTTAATAGTTTAATTACTTATATTAATAAACAAGTCATAGGGTACTTTATATTAACGTGTGAATAATATATAATAACATTATAGTTATATTAAGCTTATTGACATACTAAAAGTTATTAAATTTAATTATTTTTGATTATTTTACCTTGAGAAGCAGCTAAATAATGCAAATCGTCATCCAAGACCGCAAGGTTCAACAGCAAAATTAAAACCGTTTTGGAATACGATTATGGCTTTATTCTCTATTGCTTTACCATAATCAGTTGATTTAGAAGTAAATGACCTATACAACATATCGTAAACTGTAGACCTACATAATGTAGTTGGTCGCATTTTACAAACCCGACCAAAATTTGAAGCTATTACTCGGTTTCTTCTTTCTGTGTGCCGAATTTGTGAATTAGCCTGTTCTCTAGTTTTAATTTCTAATTCTATGCGTTTGTTGTGGTCCAAGTAAAGTGACTGAATGAATGCACTTCATGTAGCATGTTCAAAACGACGACAGTAGATGACGCTGCCGTTATCATGCAGTCCGGTCGACCGAATTCAAAATTCCCCGGACATTCACGTCGGCGATAAAATAAACTGAACAACACGCAGCTATTAAAATATTAATTACATTTTCAAACTTTTCAAATTGTTATATTGGAAAGGTAGATTAGTAAAAGTCTATAAATGTGTAAAAAAGTTGCCTCCATACTTCCATGCCTTAGTTTTCAAGTTTTTCATCACACTTCACGCTTTATAATAACTAAATAACGCGAATAATTATTATAATGACGTCTATAAAAAAAAAAAAAAGTAACACAGCTAAAATTTAAAACTACTTAAAAGCAAGTATCTTCTAGACTACCTACCACAATATAGACGCCGTCTATCATATGTTATTTAGATTAAGTAAATACTTTTTGGAAAAAAATATTTAGGTCCCAAATTAAGATTTGCATATCAGCCCTGCTGTAATGTGTAGTTGCGGCACCGAGTGATTCCCGTTTATACTTGTCACAAGATTTGTTCAGATTAGGATATAATAATATAAATGTAGAAAATATGCTTACGGTACAGACATGCATATACAGGGGGGGGGGGGTATCGACGATTTCTAGTTTATTGTTCCTAGACACGAATCTAACCAAGTAGGTATCAACATTTTTAACTAAACCTACATGAAAAATAAAAGTGTAGACAGTCCTAAGCCAGTTATTTTTTCGATATACCTGAATGGGAAGGAAAATGTCGATTACCTACCTAATACGTTTTCGTAAATAAAATAACCTAATATTATATAATTATAATATGTATAGTGGTAAAATACGATTCAAAATAAATAGGTATAATACCTAATAGTTATTATTTATTAGTTATTAATATCAACGAGTAGGATCCTTTTTGTTGAGTGACCGCAACTAGTACGTAATTTTTGATTTTGACCAGAGCTAGAAAACACCCATCTAAAACATGGGTGCCGTAGATGCTCGTCTGAACCAGTGGCGTTTACAAGGGGGAGGGGTAAAATCCCCCTCTATTGGCTTTGGAGTGGATAATCTTCCATATTATGTTTGATGTGAATTTCGAATGAATTTAAATTATATTATATTTAATTATTATTAAATATTTTACTACCTATGTAAAAAGTTTTTAGAGGGTGCGGGATTTTCAAATTTTTCCTTCCCATTTAGCTATGTCGTTTTTTTTTATCCCCCTCTTTCAGAAATCATGTCTACGCCACATGGTCTGAACGACTACGGTATCAATTCAATCGTCGTAATGAAGCTATGTAATACCTATGCATCGCGATACAATGTTATCATTTATGTTTCCAGGTTTAATTCAGCTGTCTTAGCCAAACACAAATGTAGGTAAAGTGATCTATATCTCGATGTTCAAGTGTTGAGAGAGACATTTTATTAGGGGGAAGCGGCGCAACCAAGTATATTTTTAATTTTTTACCCCATTTTAAAATGTCGTTAAACATTAATAAATTTGTTAGCTATTGACGAGGAGGCATTTTCCCCCAATGCATCACTTGGCTACTCACTTGCGTATATATAAACAGTATACACTATACATCTCACGGGTGTGTCCGTTTGTATTTGCTAGTCCACCTTTGTAGGCCAGTGTGATCCGTAAGGGGTGGAAGGTAAGATCACACGTCTACGATGGTCTAAGTTACGTATTATGGGACGTAGTCCATGTTGGATATTTTGTAGGTTTAAATTATATATTAAGTCATAAACCGTTATAATAAAT